CTGTGGTAAACTTGGCCTCCTCTGTGCTCAGACTCTGTATACCTGGATCATGGTTTAATGTGTTTTCTGTCTCCTGCATTCTTCAGATTCATCACCCGTCGCACTCACCAGTAGTGCTGGTTCCGTCTCCATCCTGTTTTTCCGTCTGCTCGGAACCCAAGGACCACATACACAACTTCTTCTCAGCCTGCCCTTCAGTCCATACTCTCCACCTCCTTGGAATCTGGACCGGACTCTCCCCACTCTCGATCCTCTCTGGAATGCTCCCATGGCAGCCTTTTTCCCCGCTTAATAACCAGGGTCTCCAAGTAAGCCCAAGACTATCCACTGGCACTCCATACCTCTGTCCCTTACTCGTTTGTCACTCAGTAACACCTTTCTCCTGTGTTTACAGAAAGTTCCCGTTCGAGTTCTCCCTGTGCTCTACGCCTGTTTCCCCGCCCACGGATTTCCCTTAGTTTCTGCGAATGGTTTCTGTTAAACCCAGTTCTGTTCACGTTTTTGTTCCTTCTAATAAATTATACATAGTTCGAGCAATTGAGTCTGCTTTTGAGTCCACCGCATCCTTGTTTGTGACAAAACTGTTAAACTGGCAAAGAAAAAAAAACAACTAATTTTACTCGTACAATCTGGAAGTTGTGTTCTCCCTATATTAAAGCTGCTATACAGAATCTGCAAAACAAACTGGGTTGTCACAAATTTGGTCCGTGGGCCAGAGTTTGACACCTATGGTATACATTGTACCATAGGCCAAGGTGTATCCATTTTTCTAATTTTTTAATAATATTTTGTACATTTCAAGGACTTCTATTTTTGGAGTGTATTTTTATGTATCTGTATTATATTATACATACACATTAAAAGTGAATCTCTGTCCAAAAAATGCACTCAGTTTACTTTTTACTCACTGTGAGCATCATTCATTATTCTCCCGCAGTAATTAAGGTTAGGATATGTTTTGGGTTTTTTTTTTTTATTCCAATCCATTCTTCTTTGGCAGCATTTAAATAACCATTATCAGATTTGATGGTTTTGTTACAGACTTTTCAAAAAAGTGTTTTGCTTTTCTTTCACAAATATGGGGATTGAATTGTGTTAAAATGTACAAAACTATCATGTCATGTTTTGTGATGAGGACCCAGGCACAGAGAGACTTGGTGAATTTAAGAATCTTATAATTTAATAAAGAAATTTGAAGACTTTCCCAGAGAGGAAATTATGATGACTGATAATGGAGATGAAGACAACAGACGATGAGGACAGGGAGGAACAGGGGTTTAAATGCACCAAGGAGACAATCAGAGGGAACTCGGGACAACTGGAGACATTTAAGGATGCAGGGACTGACGGAGACAGGGAAGACGTCTCATCGTGGCGAGTAAAGTTTACCTTGTCTGGATGGGCAGCTCTCTGGGTGCTCAGCACCCCCAAAGCTCTGATCCTAGAATTGCCCCTGGTGTCAAATGAATCCTATAGTCATTCCTAGATAAGTGTGTGCAACAGATGGCAACTAGCAGTTTCACCAAAGCCGTAGTCAAAGGTTTCTAAATTAAAACCAGTAATTGAAAATATCTGAGGCAATCCATAATAATGTGACACCACTATTTTTAGGCAGCTGAGCTAATGACAGCTACGAGGGCTGCAGGACCACTGGCTGAATCAGACTTTAGAGTGTTTATCCAGAAGCTAATGAGAGTTCATGTTTTCATCACTGACTGCACTGTGCGTAGTGCAGAGTATAGATAGAAATGCATAAATTAAGCTAAATGCCCGTGTTTGTGTTAGAGACCACATCATTATTTGTTGAGTGTTCACTCTTCATTAGAGAAAAGTGGAGGAGAGCTGTCCTGTGCACACTGGGAAATCAGAGCAGGTCTTACTGGTTCAAAGAGCCCAAGAATGAAAGTAATGAAACAAAGAGACACACTCACATACCCACACGCATCTGTTGCCTCCCTAAGACGATGACCAGAGGGGCAACTGGTTTCCTGTTTAACAACGTGTGGTGCTGTGATAAAGAATTTAAAAACGGACACACGTTGAGCTGATGTCAGTTTAACAACAGGAAGCTATTTTCAACTCTCTACACTCTCCCCCACTTAAAAGAATGTCTCCTGACATTTGTTTCTTCATGTGTGGACCCATCAATGTATGAGTGTGGAGCCATTGTGGTAGTACGGCTGGGAATAGATGGGGTGAAAGAATGATGGGATGCCTTGTGTCAACATCCAGGGTTGGCTAGCTGAAAGGGTGTTCATATCTGCCCTCCAGTGGCAGTATTATGGCTGACCCAGTGCGTTGTACGTGAGTCTTTCCGCTGGTCTTCCCCTCCTCTGTGACCTGCTTAAATAGTCATTTTCTCTAGTTTCTCCATCCATTTCCTCCATTTCTTTTCTGCTAACTCCTCAGCCTCCACAACATCTTGCTCTCCCCCTTATTCTGGCCTGTCAAGAGGACAGAACTCTCTTGCTGTTGCACATAGCTTGGGCTGACTTTGAGAATCCTGCTTTGGAATGACAGTTTCCGGTTGCTGAGGGTGCTCCTGTTGAATAGCAGGTCGTTGTTGTTGTTGAGGGTTCACAAGCCTGTAGCATGGAATCCTGCTCCGGAGGTCATGGCTCTGGCTATACCTTATAGACTGGTCCATCTCCACCAGGCGATGTACTACCTTCTCCCAATAGGCGTGCAATTTTCCTGGCCCCCCTCTCTCTGACAAATTTTTCATCAGTACTCTGTCACCTGGCTGGAGAGTGATACCTCTTACATGTCTGTCGTACTGCTTTTTGCTTTTGGCTGAGGACTGTTGGCTGTTATTTGCAGCTATTTGGTAAGCGACTCGCATCCTCTCGGCCCACTTTTGGACAAACATTTGTTGATTATGTGCCTCAGTGTCTTTCCCTTGATGAAAAAGTAGGTCAACTGGCAGCGGTGGAGTCCTACCATAAAAGAGAAAAAATGGAGAGTATCCTGTTGCTTCATGTCTTGTGGAATTGTATGCGTGCACGATCTGAGGCAGATGATCTTTCCATTCCTCCACATCTTGCTGCATGTACGGCCAATAGAACCGTTCTCGGGCAAGATGGATCACCCTTTCAGAACCTACATGCCCCATGTCGTCATGTAAGCTTTTCAGTACCACTGATTTGAGCTGTTCAGGGAGGACCAGTTGTGGGTTTTGGTTTGTTTTTCGGTAGAGTAGTCCATTTTCTACTTCTAACTAGTTCCACTCAGAGCAGTCTCCCTGTCTGTTTAGACATTGTTTTTTTCTCTTTTTCATTTGGAGTCCAAGCTCTCGGTTTTAAAAAAATAACTTCTTTAATAGCTGGATCTGCTTGTTGTGCAGCTCTAATATCTCTAGGAATGATGCCTGAAACACTATTGTGTGGTAAGCTCACGGAAGTCAACACACAGGCCAAGACTGTTGTCTTTTTTTTCACACACAGAGCAGAAACAGACTTCCTAATCCACCCCATGCTAGGAGATTTTGAATATACTCCTTCACCTCCTTAAACAGTGGCTGTGGAATGGAATTGTAGCTTTTTTGAACTAGAGTGTCATATTGATTTTGAGCTGTAGACCAGGGACACACCCAATGTCTCCTTCATCATGAGCAAACACGTCTGATTCCTCATAAAGCATTTGCCGTACCGTGCTCTGGTCAGGCTCAGGCAGGTGATCTAAATCAACATTTGGATGCCATCTTTCTTCCACACTGCCAGCCCTGCCATTTTCCTTCCCATTACTTTGTTCCTCACTGGTTGGACTTGCTTGGGTAGCACACAGAAGGGTGTCATTGTGTGGTTCTCCAGGCCCCTGCATAGTTGGATGGATGTTTACAGGCGTACTTTCAACAATTTCTTCAATGAATCCTAAGACTCCTTTTGGAGGTAAAAAAAACAAACATCATGCCTTGTTGAATTCGGGATTGGTATTCTCACTATTTTTGAGGCGCAAGCCGGCACATCAACAAGCACAGGAGATAACTGCAACCCATCTGGCAAGCGACTGTCCACATTCGGCTCAAACAACAGAAAAAGCTCTCATGTGGCATTTCACCTGACAGATCTGACTCCGCAGATGGTGAGTCCCTTCTTTCCAACTCGTAATACTGGACATTATGACTCTTCCAGGGGGTGCTTTGTGTGAACCACCGAAACAAGACTTTCAGCATTACTCAGAGACTCACTAAGTTGGCGTCGTCTCTTTGATCACCATCCCCTGCAATCATTTCATGTATCACATTGAAGCCTAATAGCGGGCTGCTCAACCCTCCTCGACTTACTAGCATGGGAACATGAATAGAAACTGAGCCATGTCTGCTACTTGTGATCTCAAGAAAAACTTCTATCCACCCTTCAAACGGTACATCTGTCCCATTAGCTCCAGTGACTTTGAGTGGGTGGTCTGAGAAGAGGCTTTCCAGTGGCCTAATTGTCACATTTGGCAAGGCTTTTTGCACCCAAGGTTTTTCCACAATACTTACCTGGGCCCCACTATCCAACAACATTTGAAGTTTGACCCCATCTACACTCAACAAAAATATAAACGCAACACCTTTGTTACTGCTCCCATTCCCCATGGGATGGACGTAGAGACCTAAAATTCATTCCAGATACACAATATAACCATCCCTCCCAAACAGTGGTCACAAATCAGTCCAAATGTGTGGTAGTGGGCACATCTGCTATATTGAGATAATCCATCCCACCTCACAGGTGTGCCACATCAGGATGCTGATCTGACATCATGAGTAGTGCACAGGTGTACCTCAGACTGCCCACAACAAAAGGCCACCCTGGAATGTGCAGTTTTGTGCACTATTGGGGGTCTGGGGACCCAGAACCGGTCAGTATCTGGTGTGACCACCATTTGCCTCATGCAGTGCAACACATCGTCGCATGGAGTCTATCAGATTGTCAGTTGTGGCCTGTGGAATGTTGGTCCACTCCACTTCAATGGCTGTGCGAGGTTGTTGGATATTCGTGGGAACTGGTACACGCTGTCGTATATGCCGGTCAAGCACATCCCGAACATGCTCAATGGGTGACATGTCCGGTGAGTATGCTGGCCATGCAAGAACTGGGACATTCTCAGCTGCCATCTGCCCTGAACAATGTGAACCATGATTCATCCGTGAAGCGCACACCTCTCCAACGTGCCAGACACCATCGAATGTGAGCATTTGCCCACACAAGTCTGTTACGGCGACAAGCTGGAGTCAGGTCAAGACCCCGATGAGGACGACGGGCATGCAGTTGAGCGTCCCTGAGACAGTTTCTGACAGTTTGTGCAGAAATTGTTTGGTTGTGCAAACCAATTGTTCCAGCAGCTGTCTGGGTGGCTGGTCTCAGACGATCTTGGAGGTGAACCTGCTGGATGTGGAGGTCCTGGGCTGGTGTGGTTACACGAGGTCTGCGGTTGTGAGGCTGACTGTTTTACATGTGGCAAAGGGTTGTAAGTGTTTTCTGTTGCCACATTCACTAACGGTGTGAGGGCTTTCTCCAAACTTTTGGCCAAAGATGACACTATACTCTTGTATAG